CTGCCAAGTCCATGGACGTTTGCCGTCAAGGCGGCGCGCGTCGCTCAACTGCACTTGCACCACAGCCTCGTACAAGAGCCCGAGCAGCCTGCTCTTCGTCGGCTTCTCCGGCTCCTCGCCCAACACGAGTGGCCGCGACGTCACCTCATCCCGCGGATCGCGCTCCTGCCTCCGCCTGCCTAAACCAAGTCCCTCAACCGAGTACACACAACGAAGGAAATCCGACCATTTTATTTAGCATAGTTTTATCTATAGTAATAGACGACCCACTCCAACAACAACGATCGCTGCTCGTGGTCATGGTTTGAAGTGGCCATTTTAATCTCTCAATTTCTCGGCCTCCAAACCTCAGCCAATCGAATGCCATGGTGCATTGTGACCTCCAAAATGTCCTTTATTGATGTGCCAAATTGCAGCGCAACTTTATTTGGCTCGGTCTGGCGATGCACGCTACTCTCGTGCCGTGGTGCGGGGATGAGGTTCCTGTAAAAACAAATATATATTCATTTTCACAGGAAAACAATACACCGTCTAAAAGAGCAATCCGATTGCTTTTTTCACTTTTCACGGCGCTTCTGCAGCTTTTCCTTGAACGCATCTCCTTCGTAGATGCAGCACTCGATGCTTTGAGAGCTAATCGCCGGGCACGACTTGTAGCGCGGGTTTATCTCAAAAAGACGGTATACGGTGCCAACCGAGGCGGTGACCACTCGCCCCCAAGCCCATGCAAGGCCACAAAGAGCATCCGTGTCTTGATGCTGTTGAGAGTGAAGCTGCTGCATAACATCATAATGCATTTTAACACTCGTCGGCCCCCACGGGCGTGTGCGTCGCTATGTCAATCACTTCGCGCACGAGCAGGCGTTCGTCGTTGATAAATGCCGTGCCCGCCGACAACCTCTGCGCTCTGGACGCTGTACGAAACGTGGCGAGCGTCGAGGTATTGTACTAGGTAAAAGTTGGTCGAATGTCGTTCGCATTATGAGTGCAATATTGAGGCGAATGCGAATACTAAAGGCAATCGCGAACCGATTCCATCGTATCACGTGGCGAGGTCGTGGCACGTACACGCTGCGCCGACAAGGCACTTGATGAGTGGTATTGCCCCGTCTCGTTTGAAATAGAAATTGATGTACACGTGTCCTCTGAGAGATTACACGTATTCTCTGAAATATTGAAAAAACTGAGAGTACATCAACTAATATTGGGCTAGCTACTAGAGACACCACGCACTTGGTTTTGACGGGCAGAGTAAAAGCGGCGTCTTCTGCGTCTCACTGGTGGGCAGCTGAATCGTATAGACCGTATAGGGCGATGGCTGGTCGCTCGTTGCGATCGCCATATTTGGCGTGTTGACATTTCGGTCGAAAGCAACGAGGAGGCTCAAGCGAAGGATCTCGACCAGCTTGCCGTTGCAGTAGCAGTGCACAAATACATCAGGGCCGCGAAAGCGCGTCGTCGGGTACTGCTTATAGCGAGCGTCCAAGTCAAAGAGCGTGTAGATCGAGCCGCCAACAGACGGAATGCCCGCCCGGTAGTCGCGCGTCCAGCGGTGCAGTGCGGTGAACACAAGACGCGTTTTGAATCCGTTGTAGAGAAAACTGCTGTAGCGCGCCGGGTCCACCGTGCCTGAGTGCGTGCACGGCACGAGCTGTATCGTCGACGTACGACGACGTAGGAGCGGCCGGGTGAAACCATACATGATGGGCATCGACGCCAGCATGAGTGTGTACACGAGCGACGACAAGCAGCCTTCGAATTCCTGGCCTTTTTCCGCAACTGGCACGAGCGCTTCAAAGAAAAACTGAAAAGTTTCGAGGAGAAACGTGACGTTGCCTGAGGCCCACGAGGCGGCTGGGCCATAGCACGTGGCGCCAATCGCAACAAGCGTCAAGTCGACTTCGGCAAACAAATGTTCCTTGTGCCAGCGCTTGAGCACATACGAGGTGAGGCCCATGGCAGCATACGCAAACCAGACCTAATCGCTGTGGTTAGTCTCCATAATAAATGCATCCGAGAATTTAGTACGGTCCGCGAGAGGTACAAAAATGCCGTCAACATGACAATGATGTCGTCGTTCTGACTGGCGCGCACAATCACAACCGTGACGACGTCGACGCTCAGCCAATAGTCGATGACAAAGGTCAGGGCGATGCCCGGGTGCAGCAGCACAAACGCTGTTGGATCCCCCCAGAGCACCTCGTAGCTCCAGTCGCCATCGGGCATTGTGGCCAAGTGCCCGCGCGTCGCCAACACGTGCTCCAGCGCATAGCAGTGGAGATAGTAGTCGGTCCACACCACATGTAGAATGCGCAACGTCACCAGAATCCGGAAAATGAACTTGAACCAGCGCCACATATACGTCGTGTACATGGCGAGGGCGCTCACGACGACAAGCGTGTTTGGTTGCGCCGGGTCGAATTCGAGCCAGACGCATTGATGGCCCAAGTTGATTGTGAAGTACATGTCGTAGACACAAAGACCTCTGTTGTGCCACTGCGCCGGCCGCACGCTGGCAGTTGCACCGAGCTCGCAGAGGAGATTCCGCACGGACGAGGTGAAGTAGACCACCCCAGGCATACCGCGAAGAAACGAGCCGACACAGTCTTCGACGGCGACCGCCACGTGTGCGTTGAGGTCCAAAGCGAGACGCACGACCTGAACGTCGCTCGACGCATCGCTAAAGTACGTACTCGTGTTGGGGAGCCGCGTGAAGGCGTACTCGGTTTGGTACTTGTCCAGAATCGTCGCATTGAAGCTTGAGTAGTTGGGAAAAATGGGGCGCTCGATCAGTGGTCCCCACGGCACATCTTCCGAGAGGTATGCTTTCATGGGCTACAGCCAAAGACGGAGTGTGAGGCAACTCTAAAATGGTTCATGGTACCATGCAAAGCACGTTGAGGAGAAAGAGGAGGCTGACGCTAAGGATGAAGGCGTTGCGGCGCACCGTGCGCGGCCCTTGCCGGACGTCGCCTTTCCCAGGGCCCGGAGGCACGGGACCCGACACGACCTTGGCCGTCGCCATGCGACCGTTTTTCGGGCAAAACGGCAAAGTCGAGTCGGAAAGAAGTACATGTCGTCTTTCTAGTGCATCGTTGTACATTGTAGCGTGTTGATTCCAACAAAAATGAGTTTATGCTTGGCAGCGAGTCTTGTCTGACCACAGATTCTCTTGTCGCTGCTCCGGCGTCTGCCAACGGTCAATAAGAAACCTCTTTATTGACCCTCACGTCTGCTACCCAGGCGTCTTCGCCCTCCGTAGTACGTTTGTTTGCGCTCGGACAAAGTCGAAACAGACAAATTGAACAAGGTGGCTCGGCGAAACTAGTGGCATTAGGGCTGAACGAAAGCAAGCAAGCCAGTAGCAGAGCTGCACACGTTGAACCCGCTGTACAAAACACGCAAGCGAAATCAATAGATCTCTAAACCAAAGAATGAATACGGTCCCAACTACTACTGTTCTAGTTGATCCATTGGCCTGCGGGTTTGATCTTCCAGAGGGCGGGGTTACGCAGGAATCGTCCGTCTTGCGTGCACAAGGACCGAGTCGATTGGCGAGGTGGCAGAGAACAGGTCGCTGCCTGACTACAGCTGCCTTGGAGGGCCCAAGGCTTCGCATCTTCTCTCCTCCACACGTTGGCAAATCTTGCTACAAATGCCGCAATGATGACTCGTTTTCGTGTCGTAGGTACCGTGGGCTCTGGGCCCCGCAAAGCGAGCTCCGACTCTCTTCCTTCCTGTTGCAACTTATCTTGGGCTTCGGTGAAGCATCGGTTTTGTTGCTGTGTTGGCTCGTTTTATGCATTGGACGTTACAATAGACAAAGTCCCTAAAAAGCGACAGTTTTTCATTCAAGCATGCCTCTTTCCCGCGTCCACGTTGTGCCCGGTCCCTCGAGCGCGACCCCAACGCTCTTTGGCGTTCACCGCAACTTCATTGCCTTTGGCATCAGCATCATCATGCTCCTCAACATTGCAAGCATGGTCACACTTGTCTCCCGTCCTCTGGCTCAGCAACACTAACTGTCGAATGTGGTAGCCCATGAAGGCGTACCTTTCAGAGCACCCACCGTGGGCGGCCCTCCCACCACCGCCAACGTACGCCAACGACTCGGACTTCAACATACAGACACTGTCTGGTATGCAAGCAGCGTACAGCGCCTCGACGCTGCCGGCAGCAGCTTCCTTTTACGACGACAGCGCCCGCAACGCTCAAGTCATGCGCCATGTCCTCGTCATGAGCCACAGTCCCATTCCGGTTGATGACTGCCGCGACCAGTTCCTTGTTGGTTTACCGAGCGTTCTCTTCTACGGTGCTGGCATCCGCAACGTTCTCTGTGCCTTTGCCGCCGCCAACCACTCGTCGCCAAGCGATCACACGTGGGACCGCCGCGGTGCGTGCATGTACATCACGTACTTTTCAACGGCCATCGGGCATCAATGCGTCTGGCTTCGCGCCGGGAACGAGCTTGACGGCAGCAACACTAGCAGCTACAATGTGTATACACTGGTGGCGGCACACGCCGTCTATACGTATTCAGCGTTCCACTCGTTCAAGTTTGCCTACCGCGTTGGCATCTCACTCCTTACCCTCCACCTCATGTGGACCAAGTACTTTGTGCACTGTCGGCATCTCGAGGCGCTGCTGCGCCGACGCGGCCACCGGGCACGTCTCCGCGCTCAGAGTCATTGGCGCTACGAGGTGCTCTACGGTGACCCAACCGCGATCATCCTCATGCACCCCGGCGTCGCCACGGCCTTCTTCTTGGACTGTTGGCTCAGCGTTGAGGTCATCTCGCTTGTCATTCCCCGCGCGTCGCAAAGCGCCGATGTCGGCGTGATGGTCCTCGCGTTCATGTATCTCTCTCGGACCGTACGTACCATCTGTTTGCGACATCCGATATCACTTTCTGATTTGGCGTAGGTCTGGTTTGCGTACTCCGCCGTGTGCTTGGTCGCGAGTTATCTCAAGCGGCGTCACAAGGAACACTTGTTTTACGAAGTCGACCCGACCATCATCGCGGTGGGAACGACATTCTACGGCCCCGCCGTGACGTGGGCGATGGGCCATGTGGGCCCTCTCCTGACAGCGTACCACTATCTATTCGAGTTTGGTATTCCGGCGTCCAGAAAAGAGTACGTCATCGAAGGTTCGGTCCCGTCGATGCTGTATTCGATCAGCATTGGGTTCATTCCTCTCGTCTATGGCTTTGTGGGCGCGTTGTGTCATCGTCGACGTACACCTGGAAACCATCTGTTGGTAGACATATCTCATCGGCATGGTTGTGGTGGTAGGTTCACGGCGGATACTGTCGAGCGTCGCGTCCTTCTACGGCAGCTTTCGCTACAACGGCATCAAGACCCAAGCAATGTTTGCAGTGCTCCAGTGGATGCACCCGAGCAAGAACGTCCGTGTGCCCGAGGTCGGCGGCACGATCTACAGCCTCTTTCGTCAAAACGCGCGCTACAAACAGTCGCCGACGATTAGTTTCCGGAGCGCCGACTGCTTTGTCTACTGCTACAAGGACAATCTGCTCGTCGAGCGCATTCGCTTGAGCCTACTGGAGAGCCTCGACCGCAACGAATCAGCGCCTACACTGGCCATTAGGGAGGCCAAGAGTGCGCCGCACTACTCGTTCAACCAACTCGTTGATCATACACCACCAACGATCGTACGCGCCCCAAAACCATCAGAGTGGTGTCTCTAAGCTCGGTGTTTGAGGAGTTGAACGAACCCGTTTTTCATTCTCGCGTTCCTTCAGTTGAAGATACAGCTACCATCATCGACACGCAACGAAATACTCTGTGCAGAGCCCGAGCAGCCTGCTCTTCGTCGGCTTCTCCGGCTCCTCGCCCAACACGAGTGGCCGCGACGTCACCTCGTCCCGCGGATCGCGCTCCTGCCTTCGCCTGCCTAAACCAAGTCCCTCAACCGAGTACACACAACGAAGAAAGTCCGACGATTTTACTTAGCATAGTTTTATCTATAGTAATAGAAGACTCACTTCAACAACAACGAAATACTCTGTGGTCTGCAGTGGAATGGACACGCAAAAACTCATTTTTCGGAAGTGCCTCATATACTGGCCAGTAGACTATCTTGGAAAGTGAAGTCAATCTCGACATTGCATTCCAGAGGCTAGCGATATCACATTTCATAGGTAGGACGTTGTTGTTGAAGTGGGTCGTCTATTACAGTAGATAAAACTATGCTAAATAAAATTGTCGGACTTTCTTTGTTGTGTGTACTCGGTTGAGGGACTTGATTTAGGCAGGCGGAGGCAAGAGCGCGATCCGCGGGACGAGGTGACGTCGCGGCCACTCGTGTTGGGCGAGGAGCCGGAGAAGCCGACGAAGAGCAGGCTGCTCGGGCTCTTGTACGAGGCTGTGGTGCAAGTGCAGTTGAGCGACACGTGCAGCCTTGACGGCAATCGTCCATGGACTTGGCAGCGGTAGGTCGGAGTGAAAGGCGCGATCGTTCCGGACTCGCCAGACGTTGAACCAGACGCAGGCGCGGAGCATGGGCCAGAGGTAGCGGAACGCGGCTTGGTGCATGTTGGACGCCGTCAGAGGTAGGACGTAGCGCGCGCTACTGCGCTTTTCTCATTTTGGCGAGCAAACATGGTAATGATCAAAGTCAGCGAGAGGCACTCTTACGCCACAAGCTTAGAAGCACCACGGAGAAGGTCGTGACGAGAGGTGTAGGACATGTGAGACGCTAGGGCCACTGCCGGACTCCCCTGCGGCCGACGTCTCATTCTCCACCCGCGTCATGACTACCAGCGTGTTGACGCTGTATGAGGACGGAACGGCGCTACTTGGAACAGAGAGCAGTGCCTCGCCTTCGTGTCGATCGACGGTCGACAAAAGCGTGAGCCGAAGGCGCTCTTTTAGAATGCCGTCCTGATAGCACAAGACAAAGCAGTCGGTCGCGCGAAAGCTGATGGCGGGACACCTCTCGTACCGCCGATTGGCTTCAAAAAGGGCGTAGACAGATCCACCGCGCTCAATCATGGAGTGAGGTGACCTGAACTGTGGCTCAAAGCACCCCCAAAGCGCCAAGAGAGCTCGGTTCTTCCAAGGATTGTAGCGAAAGCTGGCGTACGCTGCATATGGCCTTGTCGTTGCCCCTACGCACAGAGCTTTTTCTGTGGCGTAGCATTGGACTATACACGTACAACGTGCGCGACCAAAGCCATACACCAGCGGTAGCGACGCGAGCGAGACAAAATGACAGCGACATCGGGCACAGCTTCAAACTTGGTGTCTTGGTCCGACGTTGGTACTATGACGCGGCCGAGGTACTGGTACAACTGCAAGAGAAAGCTGACGTTGCCCATGCACCACGTCAGCGCTGGACCGTAAATCGCTGTTGCAATCGCTAGCGCTGTCGGGTCCATTTGAGCAAACGAGTGTTCCTTGTGGTAGCGCTTCAGAAGGAGTGTCGTCGTCGAGACGGCCAAGTACGGTAGCCAGACCTAAACGAAAAGGAGTGTCCTGACAATCTTGGTCGTCGAAATGGGAACATACGGTGCGAGAGAGGTACATAAATGCAACGAGCATGACATAAATATCTGCGCTCTGCGAGGCTCGAAGCACGGCGAACGTCAACGTATCATAGCTCGCGACAATGTCAAGGCAAAGCAAGAACGCGACAAGAGGGACGGTCAGCACCATGGCCGTAGGGTCGCCCAGCACAACCTCGTAGCGCCAGACCGAAGCTGTCGTTTTGGCCTCCATCGGTCGGTGTCCCATAGCTGCCAGGGACGACGCGAGCGCAGCGCAGTGAGCGTAGTAGCGCGTCCAAACAAGGTACGCGATGTACGCGGTTGTGAGTGTCCGGTAGATGAGCTTGGCGAAACACCACAGCACCATGGGGTACGGACGGGCCGCGTACGTTAGCGTATAACCGGGTGCTGAAGTGTTGGGCGCAAGGTCGTCGCCGCTCGTGAGCCAAAGACACTGGTAGATCCATGGCTGCGTAAAGAAGGTTTGATCCATGCAGCTACCACGACCGTCCCACGAAGAACCGCTGTCACTGCCGTGCATGGCCATATCACAAACCAGCCGAGAAAAGGGCGGACCGTAAAAGATCGCACCAGGTAGACCCGGAAGGACTTTCGAGGTACACGCATCGAGACTCGTGATATGCGGGTTGATGGCTTTTCGAAGCACGTACCCCGTTGCGTCTTCATAGTACGTCGCTTGCGGGGGGAGTGTGCTTCGGTTGTATAGTCGTTGAAAGAGGAAGAGCGTAGACGTGTTGAAGGCTGTAAAGTTGGTCGAGGTGAGCGGCGCCGGGGGCGGAACATACGTCCACGGCAAGAATTCGGTCACGTAGGCTTTCATAGGCTAGCAGAGTCGTGTGAAAATCACCTTGAGAATGTGTATACGGTACCATGGCCGCGAGGTTGCCTAGCATGACCAAGCTCAGAAGCAAGGGAGGTCTACTCCAGCGCACGGCGAACTGTTGCCTCCGCGAAGCGAGTGCTTGCATAGCGTCGTGCACGTCGGCCACCTTGGCCATGGGCAAGTACTAGGTTTGTGTTTGGTACGAAGCTATTTAAGTCGACAAAAACGGGTGCCTCTGGACGCGATGCGAGCACATCGCATTGGTGCTAGTTTCGATGGTATGTCCTGTGCTTGGATGGAGCCATCGCGCAGCGGCAGCGACGCACCAACGCTTCAATTTGTACAATTTATTGATCCTGAATGAACGCACAGTGGTAGCCAAACAAAAGCTGATGTCACTTGACGCCAAGAAAGTACGCAACGATGCACGCACGAGCGATTCGACGACGGCTAGGTCCGGCAGTGTGCTGCCCGTAGAGACGACGACAGAGATGCTATACGCTCTGAACTTTTAACACCACATAAAGCGCAAGCAGCTTGCGACGATAGCGCCGGCACGATCGACCGCGCATGCTCGTTGAGGGTATTACGTAACGCTAAATATCTCTAAATCAAGTCGTGCTCAGTGCAAAACGGTCTGCATGGCGGTGTTCTCTTGGACCAAGGTCGCGCCGACTGGCGGCTCTGCGCTGGTCCACCCGATTGTGCATCGAAACACCTTTGCGTTTGCGGTGAGCATCGCCATGCTTCTCAACATTGTGTGCATGGTATGTACCTTCCACGTCACCGTGAGCACGATTGATGGCGTACTAGCCCATGAAGGCGTATCTGTCCGAGACCCCTCCGTGGGCAGCAATGGAAACCCCACCGACGTATGCCAACGACTCGGACTTCAACTTGCAAACGCTCGCTCGAATGCAAGCAACGTACAACGCCTCGACGCTGCCGGCAGCAGCTGCCTTTTACGACGACAGCGCCCGCAACGTTCAAGTCATGCGCCACATCCTCGTCATGAACCACAGTCCCATTCCGGTTGATGACTGCCACGAACACTTTCTCGTCGGCTTACCCAGCGCTCTCTTCTACGGTGCTGGCATCCGCAGCGTTCTCTGTGCCTTTGCCGCCGCCAACCACTCGTCGCCAAGCGATCACACGTGGGACCGCCGCGGCGCGTGCGTGCACAACTTGTTCTTGACGGTCGCCATTGGCCACCACTGCGTCTGGCTTCGCGCCGGCAACGAGCTCGCCGGCAGCAACACCAGCAGTCATGACACGTACACGCTAGTGGCCGTGCACGCCGTCTACACGCACCGAATGTTGTACTGGTTCAAATTTGTCTACCGCGTTGGCATCTCACTCCTTACGCTCCACCTCATGTGGACCAAGTACTTTGTGCACTGCTTGCACCTTGAGGCGCTGCTGCGCCAACGCGGCCACCGCGCTCGTCTCCAGAGTCATTGGCGCTACGAGGTGCTCTACGGTGACCCGACCGCGATCATCCTCATGCACCCCGGTGTCGCCACCGCCTTCTTCTTCGATTGTTGCCTCAGCGTCGAGACTGTCACGGTCGTCATGACCCGCGCGTCGCAAAGCGTTGACGTCAGTATTATGCTCCTGGCGTTCATGTACCTCTCTCGGACCGTACGTGCCGGAAACATCTGTTTTATAAATCACTTTTTTTCTGATTCTGCAGTTGTAAATAGGTCTGGTGTGCCTATACCGCCGTGTGTTTGGTCGCGAGTTATCTTAAGCGATGCCACAAGGAACACTTGTTTCACGAAGTAGACCCGACCATCATCGCGGTGGCAACGACATTATACGGTCCTGCCGTGACGTGGGCCATGGGCAACGTGGGGCCAATTCTGGTGGCGTACCACTATATTTTTGAGATTGCACTGCCCGTGTCCGCCAGACACTTCAACATTGACGGATCAATAGCGTCGATTGTCTATTCGACCAGCATTGGGTTCATTCCGCTTGTCTATGGCTTTCTCGGGGCCATATGTCTCCGCTTTTCCAGTACCCTCCATCCTACTGCAGGCTTCTCATGCATGTTGTTCTAGAGCGCCGGCACGTCGAGGGGCTCACAAATGCACCACACAAGCTGTATGCTAGTCACCATCACAACGGCATCAAGACCCAAGCGATATTTTCGCTACTGCAGTGGATGCATCCGAGCAAGAACGTCCATGCGCCCGAGGTCGGTGGCGCGATCTACAGCCTCTTTCGTCAAAACGCGCGCTACAAACAGTCGCCGACGATTAGTTTCCGGAGCGCCGACTGCTTTGTCTACTGCTACAAGGACGGCATGCTCGTCGAGCGCATTCGCTTGAGCCTGCTCGAGAGCCTCGACCGCAACGCATCCACGCCGTCTCTGGCCGTCGTGCTCGAAACAGAGCCGTCCTCGAACCCATATTCATTCAATACGCTTGTCGACGCGGTACCGCCCCGTATGTTTGAAGCCCCCAGCCATGCGCGTGGTGTCTTTGAGGTCCGTATGTCGACGACGCAGCATCGACGGATGCCGAGGTGTAAACATCCATCATACATTCTACGTAACAAATATCATTAGAAGCCCGCCGACGTCGTGCCCCGCCACGGACGCGCTTGCAGCTACCGACCCGCCACCTGGGCGTCGAGGAAGACTTCTACGAGGCGCCTGCTGCCGTAGCCGCCGCAGCCGAGCTCCGGCTCCCCGACGCTATCTTACCCAAGTACGCCGACTTCGTCTACCAAGTGATGCTCCGCGCGGTCAAGTTCCGCG